TGTGATTGACTGGTGAACAGCCCCCCCCCCCCCCCCTCTCGCCCAATGACAGCTGGGATGGGCTCCAACCCCCCCCCCCGGGACCCCAAACTGGAAAAGTTGTATAGATAATGGATGGATTGATTGTTTTTTTCCTGGGACCTGATTATCTGCAGGTCTCTTCCTCTCCAGTACAAACAGACCAAGTGATAAACATCCAGGAAAAAAAAGCTACTTAAAATTTTGTCTTCTTTCGCACATCGATCAGTACTCTGTGTCGGCTGATTTCCCTCACCAACAGAGATTCTGATGTCTAATCTAGGGTGTCTGAATTTTTTCATATCCTTCTACTGGTGGCCAGGAAAATGATCACTCTATCCCAGCTCAAACCACTAACTCCCACCCGTCACCATAACAACAGAGGGTAAAGAAAGTGTACTTCATGGAAAAACTAAAAGCAGACTTTCATGTAAAGGTGGTAAAGGGCTCCTGCAATTGCTTCGTTTAAACTGCTGATGTGATAAAAGACTGGTTCATGTATTTTTGTTTGTGTGTATGGCATAAAGACATGTGAAAATTAAACATGTTTATAAACAGATATAGGCCTACACATATCCTTAATTTGCTCCTCATCGAAAATGAGTCCTACCCACTTTTTTTTGGGCGTAATTTTCAAATCCCCTTTTTTTTATGTGGATGTAGATGTTGTCATGAATTTGAATTGTTGGCCAAATTGTAAATGATTCTTCTCATTTTCTTGCTATGCTTTCTCTTTAAAACAAGTGAAGTCTGTGAATAAAAACGTGCATAACTCGGAACAAAAAAATGAAATTAGTTGTATAAAAATCCTGTGATGCACAGGTTTTCAAATGAATAGAAAAAAAAGACTGATCTTTTACTGACTGGCAGTGACTGAGCAGTGAACGCAACATCAGGAGGAGGGTGGGGAATAGGGGAATAGCCTAAAGTGTGGTTCCTGAACACAACGGTAACAAAAGTAACAAATAAGACGGAAAGATCAAAGGGAGCAATTACTTTTGTACATGACAGTTTTTAATCTTAATTATAGGCTACATGATTTCACTTTTTTATATTAAAAGTTAACGAACTTGGCGATAACTCTCAACTCCAACTCTAAATCAGTGACAATTCAGCCGAAAGCGAAGTTTAGAGCTGTAAAACTTTGAGTAAAAGCGGGATTTTGAAGGAAGAAAGTCCCGGAACATGAAACTTTGATAATGGCAGTATCCCTGCTCCGAGCCGTGGCCTGAGATTAGTCACAGCTCGGGCCTGTGCTCCAGGAAAGTGGCTTTGCTTTGCGACAAGCCTTTTAACCTCCTCAGGATAATAACTCCACTTAACATACGTGTTCATTTTGAAGCGGACATGCTATAAAAAGTAGAGTCAGGACGGCTACACCCAAAGCTGCTCCTGTTTTCTCCCACCGTGTGTTAGCTGGACGCTCACACAGTGAAACTAAACTTCACGATCAATCGGTGGACTCACCGGGGTTGTTGACGGTCAGAAAGGAAAACTTTAGTGTTTGTAAGCAGGACTAATTCAGCGCCATTTAACCGGAATGTCGGTCCCTCCAGCGGCTCCCAAATCCACTTTAAGAAGTCCTCAATCCGAGTTTTTTTCCTCCGTCGTCGGCTGGAGGAATCTCTCCTCGGTTGGTGTTATTATCATGGGCGGGGAAGAGAAGCCGAGCAGGGAGTTCCTGTCCCTCAAACAGGGAAACTCAACAGGAAACTCCGCTCAGAGCTGCGGTGCTCACCCTCCTCCACTAGCGGGCAGGACGCGGCGGGATGAGAGAGAAAAGGTGGAGGAATGTACAGTAAGAACCGACCTGCCCCCCAGGTATGGAGGGTGATTAGTGCCACCCTCCCCCACCAAATCAGGCTACACACACCACTGACTTGCCTACCAAAAAATCTTGAAAAAAAGAAAAAGTTATATAAATATATACAGTATATATACATATATACATATATATATATAAATTATATAAATTTAACTTATTTTTCAGTACTTCACATAACCTAAAGAAAAAATAATTACAACTTCTTTTTTTTTAAATCCAAAATTGTCACACACTCATTCGAGTTCCCTGTAGTAGACTATAAAGTTAATATAACTAATTTAACACAATATAAAAAAACATTTAAGACACTACTTAGTTTCAACCTCAGGTGTTAAAAACAAAGCTAATGTGGGAGAGCAAAAAAAAATGCAGTTCCTCAAGTGTCCACTTGAGGCTGGCTTCAAAAGACCACAAGGTCACATACACACCCCATATCAAAATTTCCGTTTTGTCAGCAGAAATTAACTTTTACAGTCTGGTACAAAAATTATTTTGGTCTTATTAGTTAATGTATTTATAAGCACAAACTGTACAGGGTGTCATTTTATAACTCGCCAGTTTAGATGTAATGAAAGATATGAGTTATGCATAGTGGCTGCGTTGTAGCAGTTTGTCAGGAGGCTTAAGACCCCCTCAGCTCCAGCCCTTTGCCTGTCGTTCAGTTGACCGTAAGTTTGATAGAGTCAGCATTTCCAATATGGCAAGCACCATGGATAGGCTTCAAAAACAGCCCTTCAGAAACCAATGGGTGACGTCACTCACAGGATTAATAACAACAGAAAATAAAGGCATGAATAACTAATATTATACTCAGCTTATTTTCACAAAACAATACATAAAAAAATATTAAATACTGATTACATTTCTAATAATGAAACAGATTTTTGCACCAAAACTCATTTATTAGTGTTTACAGACTCTGGTCTCGTGCCTGTCATCATCATAACGAATGGTTACTCGGTTAAAAAATTATTTTTAAGTCTTCAAGATTTCTGTTTAAAATGCCTCCAAATATTAACCTCATTTTGTTACTGCACTGTGTGCTGGTCACGCTCCTCTCATCTCCTGAGAGAAGTCAAAAGTCACTTTCCTCTCAAAAAAGTTTTGAACTGCAATGCATGATGGTATATATTGCCTAGATTGTGACCTTCTGGTTACTTTTCACAATGCATTGTGGGATACATTGATTTTATTGTATAGTATTGTATGTATAGTGTAAGTCAAACGTTTTGTCCCAGAAAACTTGAAATTGATTGAGCCATGAAATATAACTATGAAAAACAAACCATAAAATATATTAAAGCAAAATATAATAATGATAAAGAGTAATTGCAACTAAAACACATAGAAACATACGAACGGAGAATTAGGGCCACGTTAAAATGTTTTGGTTTTTTTTAATTTCGACTTGCGAGACCTTTATCAGTAAAATGATGAACAGGACACAAACTGGCTCTGCACATGAGACGCTTTAACAAGGCAGATTGATAACAGACACAAATAGTTGTGTTGGGGCTTTACTTATGCAGATATGAAACTACACATGCTTTTGACACATCATCATCTTCACATTGTCTTTAAAATATCAGCACCTTGAAAAGAAACTGAAGAAAAAACCACACTGATTTGGAGGAAGTTGTCTTTCATCATTTTGCGCAGGCTGGTCTCGAACTTGTAAATTTACGACTTTATCCTGGTAAATTTACAAGTTTAATCTCAAAATGTATTTATTTATTTTTAACATGGCCCTAATCCTCCATCATAGAAACCAAGCACTGACAAGAAATAAAAAAACAATTAGCCCAAGACTAGTTGAATCTGCTGCCATAATCAAGCTAGTGTCAACATACATAAAACAAATGTAATTTCTCTTATACAGCTTATTTTTAATTTTAGTTTTTATACACCTCTTATTTATTTTTTTCTCTATTCTCATATTCATATTTCTGTCCTTGTTTGTCTGAACTCCCTGAAGCATCGTGGAGAGCTGTCTAAGGACATGAAGCTCAACAGGTAGTACTGTGAGTCTTTGAGCTATGAGGAGAAAACCTGAGCATTGACAGCATACCTGAACAGACAAAGTGTGAAATGTAAATATCCAACTTTAAACAGCTGATTGAAAAAAAAGAGATTGCTTTTGTTGACTGTGGATAGCAGCGCTGGTCTACTAACCTGCCCTGAGTGAACTCTGAGATAAATGAGGCTAATAGGATGAATCTAATCTCACGCTTTACTACACACACTGAACAGAGAATAGAAAGTCAACACCGTCTGGAGTTATTCTAAGTGAAGTGTTAACCCACTTACACTAATGGTGAATTGAGGTTTAAATATTTTCTTTTTTATTTACTGTCATATCAATCAAAATCTTGACATATACTTACTGTATTTTTAGACAATATCAGGAAAAACAAACCAGTGAATCCAGTCATGGAGACTGACTTTTTTGATTGCGGTTGCCAAACTGGGACACTGACTTCTGCAGTGGTGTCAGAAAGTGGTGACACACACATAAACAAATCTTATAGCATTTATTTACCCTTTCTTTCTCCACTAATCATATTGACTTTGACTTAACATTGAAATCTTCATAGCTCGATTGTTTAAGGACTCAGAAAGATGATGTATGTCCAAAATCACAATTTAAAGTACTTTCAAAATGAAATGGATAACATAGGTATACAAAGAAAGCTATACCCGCCCAACTAGTTTATTAAACATACAGTAGGACCCTCCTGTGACAAGGCAGATCCAAATTTAGTTCAGGAGTTTGGGGTGGCCAATCACATTGCTAGGATGGCCCTAACCACCATTGGCTCCACCCCTAAGTAAACAATCTAACTCAGTTTTACTCTAAACTCAGATTGAGTAGATTTAATTTATACAACTTTGGACTTTCTGAGACATGACCTTTTTAAAATTTGACTTTCTCATCTATTCAATAATATTGACAATTTTACTATCAGTAATTATTAAAAATACTGTCTTTATAAATAACTGAAAAAACATGGAATACCAACAAAAGATAATGTTTTCTATTTAACATTAGCAGATCCTGATTATTGTAAAAACTTATCAGTCCTTTTATTCAGGCAGAATAAGATCTGAGATTTAGAAAACTAAAACATGGAGTCCACATAAAAAGGACGCAGGGGTGTTCAAGTCTTCAAACTTTTATTACAAAGCAATGGCACATGACATATGCATTGATGATTGTGCAAGATCATTTTGTGCTTTACATATACACACTATTAACAGCTCCTTAAAAAAAACACAATGTACAAAAAGTTGTAACTTTATAAACAAAGCAGCTAATGTATGTTCACAAGCAGCTGGTGTGACTGCGGCCCTAAATGATGATCCTCCTACATCACGTCTGAACAGCCAGAGCAGACACAGAGTGACCATCATATGGTACACATCATCACAGACAATGACAGCAGTCACCAAACAGACAGAGGAGTTCAGTCCATCACTTCAAAACAGACACATGCAACCTCAGCACTGCTCGAACCCGGCCATCAGAGAGAGAGCCAGAGACTCCACTGTTCCAGGAAGAGAAAACAAACAGAGATTCAGTATTCCTCAGGTGAATAAAACAGAAAGCAAAGCATCTATAAAACACACACTTTCTTTAAATCAGAGGGCTGTAACAGGATCAGTTTGGTACTCACAGTGAGGGAAGGAGCCTCGACAAACTGCCTTGTTGAGGATCGTCACCAGGAACATATGACAGTTCTTAAAATCTGATTCCATTTTATCGATTGACTCAATCCTGAAAGTGAAAGATCAACACCAAAAAACAGGTTACTGAAGAATCTACAGCAGCACAGATTTTAGGGTAAGTCGTTGGTTCTTAGTATGGGGATTGGCTGCTCTTTCACAACAACTTATTTGTGCAGCTCACTTTCCACTTTTCAGCGCAGGACAAATAACTTATAAAAGCAACAAAAAAAGCTGTAACATAAAAATGGTTCCAGCCCAAACCTCCAACAGAGACTGACTGGATGGGTATTATGAGGAATATTCAAAGTATGGACTTTGTCACTAAATCTGAGTGCAGGAGCCTTTTTTGCAATGCTAGGATTAATGGATTTTGTAACCTTGAGGGTATAACTGAACCACTTTATGAACTTACATGCACTTCAATCCTCACTGTGTTGTGTTTTGTTTTTTTTACGTTTGTGTGCAAAAAATATATTTGTGAACAACAGATGTAAAGATGAATTGTAAAATTGTGATAAATCGATTCAAAATTTGTCAAGGTTCACATCGGTACTCTAAAAAAAGAATCGCAATAATATCATGAGTGTCAGCAGCTGCAGAGCAAGATTTTGAAATTGAGGACACACCACCGTCTTTTAAATGGGAGGTGTGGAAGCATTTTGGCTTCCCCGAGACAGAAAATGAAAGAGGTGAGAAGATAACAGACGAGACAAAAACTGTGTGCAAATACTGTAAGAAGACAGAGAACTACACAAACAACACAACCAACATGATGCAGCATTAATCAACACCACAAAGAGAAGCTCCCATCACCTCCCCTTGTTCAGAGAAAAAAAACATTAAAAGGTCAAACCACACTGACAAGCGGGTTTACAGCCCCAGTCATAAGTTGTCTAAAGTCTCATTTTGTAAAATAAATTGAGAGAGAATCGTATCATGAGTTGAGTGAATCGTTACATCCCTAATGTGAACACCTCATCTTTGAACTATTTCACCTCGACTGTGAGTTTTTGGCACACCTCCTGTGACACAGAATACTCTGCAAGTTACAGCTCAGATTTTTCATTTCTCTCCAGCGGATATGAAAGCTCTTACTTCCAGGCTCCAAATCCAGCCTGCCATCGGTCAGAGAAGATGAGGACCAGATTGAGAACCTTCATTATCGCCTCTTTCACAAAACTGACCTGAAGAAAAACAACAACAACAACAGCAGTCGTCAGCAGGTGATATATGAAGTGAACCTGACAGTGTATTAAAGAAATGAACTCTGACTTTGGGTCTGAAAAGTAAACATAATGTGAAGTACCAATACACTGTGTTCTTTCTAATGGCCAGACTCCACAGGTTCTGTGAGATGTCTGATTGTTTCTGTAAAATCTGAAATATAAGTCACACCTGCGACAGTCTGTTTTCTGGAGTTTCCCAGAGAGAAAAAGGTTCAAACGAGTTCCATTGATTTTAGCAAAGTCCAAACCTTCAGTTTCTGTGGAGCTCTTTTAGTATCATCTGTTTTTGTCATGTGGAGTTTGCACTCTTACTAGCTACAGGTACGGTAGTAGAGCTCTTAGCCTAAGGGGACAGTTGTGAAGTGCAGATCCACAGACCTCGAGTCCCGCTGCACACATCCGCTGGTCACTTGTTGTCTTAAATAAGAAGTCTTTTAAAACCAGCACTCCAAAGAGTTAATTTACTCAACAATATACCACCATTTTCTCTAATTGCATGATAATGATGAATAAGGGTGAAATGCAGGTCTGGTGCAGTGTGTGATGGTCGAGGCTGCACTTGGGGTGATGACTCCAGGATGTCTCCAGCATTTTAATCTGGTCGCAATAAATATGACGCAGCTGATATTCAAAGTGTTTCTAATACACCCGTTTCTACAGTAACTTAACATGTTCCTTCTGAGGGAATTATCTCATGGCAAGTTTCAAGTCTTCTTTTGTGATGTCTGTATGTCTGTCCTAAGACTTCTTATTTAGTTTTTGGTTTAATCAAAGTTTAAAAGTTACATTTTGGACACACTTATATGCGTTAGTGCTGTTTACCTTCTCCCTCAGCAGACACCGATCGTGAATGGTGGCCAGATATCTGTAATGGATCTTAATCAGCTGGTCCAAGTCCTTTGCTTCCTGTACCTGATGCTGAAACTCCAGCCCAGTGCTGTGCAGAATCTGCAAACATAAAGAGCACACACATTCAATTAGATGAACTATTATTATTATTATTGTTAAAACAATCATACAAGATTTTTTTCCTTCGGAAATGTACCAGTATGTGCATTTCTGCAAATTGTTTAAAAAAAAAAACTGAGAATACATTTTGATTCCCTTCAGACTTGAAAATCACTTCTGAATAGCAAAGGAAGATTTGTAGTAAAAAGAAGATGCATATTCAAAATCCTGTATTAAACCTTCTTTAAATACACCCAGATGTGATTAACCTGCAGTCTACCGAACCACCAGAATGATTAGGGATGTAAAGATTAATCGTAAAAATTGTGATTCTAAGGTGTAGCAATAATATGGTGAGCATCAGCAGCTGGAGAGCAAAATCTTGAAATTGACGACGCACTACCGTCTTTTAAACGGGAAGTGTGGAAGCATTTTGGCTTCCCCGAGACAGAAAATGAAAGAGGTGAGAAGATAACAGACGAGACAAAAACTGTGTGCAAATACTGTAAGAAGACAGAGAACTACACAAACAACACAACCAACATGATGCAGCATTAATCAACACCACAAAGAGAAGCTCCCATCACCTCCCCTTGTTCAGAGAAAAAAAACATTAAAAGGTCAAACCACACTGACAAGCGGGTTTACAGCCCCTAAAGGAATCTTTTCCAGTCATCATTTGTCTACAGTCTCATTTTGTAAAATAAATCGTGAGAGAATCGTATCGTGAACCCAGTATCGTGAATCGTATTGTTAGTTGAGTGAATCGTTACATCCCTAAGAATGATATAATATTAAAATTGGTTCATGCAAAAAATTTACAATATTTTTTAAATAACATGAACATTTTAACACCAGTGATACACTGATGATAAACTATGGTTTTATTTGATCAGGAATAATTATTTGTATTCATAGCCGTTTTCACATCTGCACTCCAGAAAATATAAAGAGAATTTCAGGAGAACTGCCCCTGATATCCTCCTGTTTTGGCTGTTCACACATGCACTTCACAGGGAGAGACTATCCTGGTCAGACTGGAGGGGGGCCTTTATATTAACTCAATGTGTAGTCAGGCATATTCACAATATCAACAACAAAAGAGTGTAGAACAACATACTGGAGAACAGAAAACATCATGCAGCAGTTTGATGACGTGCACAAAGACCAGCTACATACAGTCTATGGTTGTGCACTGATCACAGGGAATGAATGGCAACACCCTGTTCAAACTGCTGGAAGTGAATTCTCCTGAATATATCCTGCTGCGTCCTCCCATCAACTCACCCTTTCTGACTTTTTTGCGGAAAAGATATTAGTGGTCTGGCAGGAAAAACTCCTGATAAAGTCAAGCGCGTTCACACATGCTGCTCCTCCTTCAAATATCAGGAGTTTATTTGGAAGTGTGAAAGCCCTACATGATGCCTTTATAATGGAATAACAGGAAATATGACAGTGAGTCATTTCAGCTGCTTTGTCGTTAATGTTTTTGTTTCAATCCTGCTGTTCCTACTATGATAAGTGTCAGCAGTTAAAAGATCTCCTCTACTGTACGTCTCACCCTGGTTGTGATGTAGTTGTGAAGGCTGTTGACAAAGTGCATCAGTTTGACCCTCAGCAGACACATTCGGTGAATCTGCTGATTAATCTGCTCTTTGACTTTGACTTCCTCAGCCAGAGCTCCCTCCAGCTTCTTAGTGACGGCTGTGAAATCTAAAAGACAAATACACATTTGACATTAAACTGCTGACTCATTCTGCACAAGATACTGGCTTAACCGTCATGTGTTCAACTGAAAATCTATGATATAATAATGTTTAAGTTCCCCCATGATAGCTCCTACCACTGAATCGAAGCGTGTCCAAACTGTATTTGGCCCATTTAATCTGCAGCAGCAGGAGAAACACTTGATTGTAGATCTTCTGACACTCCGAGCTGATCACGATATCAACAGGCCAGGGAACCTGTGGAGGGGAAAATACTGTAATGACATCATGAAAGTAAAGAAAACATGAATGAATACATGATTCACAATAGTTCACCTTGTAACTCAGAGTGAGAACCTCTAGATTATTTACAGGATGCTTTTTCCTGGCAGGGTCCATGTTCTCCAGGAAGATTGACAACCTACAAAATATGAAAGAATTAGGGGGGGAAATATTGAATTTTCAAAAATATAAATTAAAATACACCTCCTCCTGGTTATCATAAATGCAACTTTAATTATTCTTCACTCATTAATGTATGCATTACCTGCTGCTGTCCTCAGGGTAGCGCTGTCCAACAGCCTCCTGCAGCTGGACGTTGAGGAAAGACAGCTGCTGCCAGCTCTCCTTTTCCTGCACTTTGTCAAAGATGGCTGTGTAAAAGTCATACATGGTATCTCCGGCTTCCAGCAGGAAGTAGTTCCTCATGGCTTGGAGGTATTCCAGCAGTCTGTTTGAACACATGAAGGAATTTACAAACCTCTACGTGTGAGAGAAAAAAAAAAAAGAGGAGCAAAATCCTGAATTATATAACCTCAAGAGTTAGTCTCACTTGTAGTCTTTTTTCAGAGTCTTCATGAGGTTCCCGCAGCACTCGATGTACCTCCTCTCGATGTGCGGGTAGAGGCAGGAGCGCAGGGTGAGCTCAAACGTTTGGCAGGTGACAGACTGAGACGACCGGTCCACGATGAAATCGCCCCCAGAGAAACGCTCGTGGAAGTCGCTCTGCTCCAAATACAGCCTGAGGAGGAACACACAACACACACTCTTTAGGTTCTTACTTGATTGATTGATTGTTTTCTTCTTCTTTTATTTACATCGACATATCTGGATTTGTCCCAGATTTCTGTTTAATGCAAATATTTTTCAAATCCAGTTTTCTCCTCTGAAACAGCTCAGACTCATCAGAGCTGTTTTTAATCATTTCAGAAATGTTTGATGTTAAGGATTCAAAATGTGAATAACTAAGTGGTCTATATATCTGAGAAGGATCACATTGAGAGAGAGGAGGTGATTGAACTCAACAATGCTACTGTTGACAGAGAACTAAAGCCCTTAGCTGACATTGTCATGATAAGCAGCATGAGAACACAAAAAGCTGAATCCGTTCACACTTTGTAGAGATTTTCCTGCAGCCCCCGATAAGTCTGTGTGAATAAATAGTTACTTTTACCTAAAGTGAGTCGGCCGAGTGATGACATCATTGAAATGGAGCAGAGGTTATCTACTTTCTACTCTTTGACGCTCACCTAATTTGTCTATAATGTTACTTATAGATGTTGGAAAGACATAAACCCAGAAATGTAATTGTTGATTATGGAAGACTGCTCCACCTGCAGGCTCTAACCAGGTGCCCTCCAAAAAAATGTGTGTGCATGAAAGTGTGTGAGAAACTAGCACTTATCAGAGTGCATTTCAACTAAAGCGCCGTAATAAAGCTCTGCTGTCATAACACCTTAAAACATTCTTATTTATTCTGCAACAGTGTAATGTTAGTGTCCCCATCTGTGAATTCAAATAGTCTTACGGCATTGCAGAAGCGTGACAGAGCACAGCTGGTACTCCATCTCCCATCTACCCTGTAACGCCTCAGTTAGTAGCACTGAAGACAGTACAGAAGGGAGATCACTTCGCTCCCCAATATCGCAGCTTGAAACAGCAGTCTGTATAGGACTACTGACAACCTCTTTAAAAGACTTTCCAGAACATATCAGGACCTAAAGCCCTGAAATCAAGAAAAAGTCAGGATTTTATTTGTGAAATTGTTTTAACAGGTTCACCTTTACTCCAGTTCTCACTAAAGAATAAACAACCTGTGTTTGTGTCTACAATTTATCATCTAAACCTTTAAGAGTTTTGCTTTTCTTTTGTTTTTAAGCAAAATAAATCACTACATGAAGTTATAGTCGGTCTCAGTCTACTTCCCCATGAGATCAAACATTTGAGAGCAATCTCAATAATGCCCTTTAGTGAGTGATGCACCATTATTTTAATCTGCTCTTCAGTATGCAGGTCTGAGATATTAAAGAATCCTCTCTGTGAAGTTTGTCCTTATGCGTGCAAAGAGGAACTCCTGTAGTCTGAGCCCCGCCTGCTTTACTGACCCAAATCTGCAACAACAAAAATGTAAATCTCTTTAACATCTCATTGACTCTGGACCATTTGAGGGATTATAAAACCAGCAGTTGGAAAAATATAATAAATAATGATGTCTAAATGGAAGCACTGAGCTTTATAGTTGATAGGATAACAGATAGGGATTACAAACCTGTTTCTATGTTCTACTGTCTAATACTTTAATGTGTGGGGTTTTTTCAAGAGTTACTCGTCATGTGAACGTAGCTGGTTGCTGCTTACCTGGCAAAGTTGATTGCCAACAGCGGGTCGTGGACGTCTTCGATCTGCAGGTGCTGAGCTATGATGGACTGCATCTTTATGAGGCTCCTTTTAGTGGCCTGCTGCTCCGTCACCGTGTCTGTGGGCGACTCGTCCTGGCTGCAGAGACGGGACTGCACCGACTCCAGAAACAGTGTGTACAAACTCTTCCTCTCTGCGTCTGTGGGGACATCGTTCAAAAAAGATCAATGCTGCTTCTTTCAGCAACAATTAATAAATAATTAAACTTCTCCAGTTGTGCCTCTGAATGCTCCTATACTCTGGCTTTGTTCCACTATAAGTTACAACTTCTGTACATGTATAAACTTGATCACTATATATGAATTGTGCAGATATTAACTGATGCCTGAATCAGCCTTATACTTTCTATTTCCAGACTATTTTTACTCGTTTCTTTCTCTTAACTCTGTTTTTCTTTGTAACTGATCATATATTATGTTACTTTATTTGAATGTAAGTTTCCCCTAAGCATGAAAAAAAAAAAACTTCTGCAATTGCTTCATATTATCAAACCTTGTTTATTTTATTTATTTATCCTCTACCTTCTATTTTGCTCGACTGCTATTTATTGCCGCAGACGTTTCAGACAAGGCCATTCTTTAGAGGCTTCAGGAACACAAACAAACTCAGACTGATGAGTCACTCGCAGGTGACACAACAAGAAAAAGGTGGAAGTTTAAGATGTTGGTGTGTTGTCCTGAAATACTTTTCTACTTATTTGAAGACATTTTGACTTCTGAGAATCTGTTTTAGATATCTACAGAAGATTCAACAAGTAAAAAATGACACTGCTGTGAAATACCTTGGGTTATTAATTCATCAAAATGCATTTGTTGATACCTCAAACTGCCATTACTTCTAGTGATACAGTGTTGATACAGCAAACACTGACCTCTGGAGGATCTATCGGACTGTTCAGTCTCTTTGCAGTCCAGATTTTTTAACAGCTGCATCGATTTCCCCGCCATGATGATCTGCTTGAGCACAGGTTTGAGGAAGGACACCATGGTGAGCTGCCTGCTGTGGGAGCCCTGATCTCCTCCCGAGCTCCCGCTGGCTGCGTCGTTCAGCTTCTCCTCGTTCTCCACCGTCTCAGAAATGCTGTACAGCGTGTAGGTGGCGTACCAGAAGTCCCTGTGGTTCACCGGGACGTCCTTGTTTCTGAGCAAAGGAGAAAAAAAAGCTAATTCATAAGCTCAGTAAGTTACAACAGCTGATAAGTACGATCTCTGCTACACACCTCTGGATGATGAACTCCTTTGCAGGGTCAAAAAGGTGACCATGAACAATCCACTCATCGACTATCTCCAGATATGGTCGCACCGTTTCTGTCCACAGAGAGAATAACAACGCAACCTAACAAGAAAAGATAGAACACAGACATGATTATTCACACCGTCCGTCTCCTTACAAAGATCCATTTATTCTTCTTCATGTGTTTAATTCACAGCTCTTACTGCTTGCTCCGAAGCTTCCCCAACGCTGTCGTACTCAATGATGGCTTTGTACAGGGTGTTCAACAAGTGAGAGGCCCGCACGACATTCGGGGTCTCGGGGGGGACTTCGGCGACCCCGGTGCAGAAGACTTTGTGCAGGACTTTGATCTGTGCCAGGTGAGGGTTGAGTCGCTCCAGAACTGCAGACAGAGTAACTGTCTCATCTGCAAAAAAGAAAGCAGCACATTAAACACATGCAAACATAAGAAATCAACCCCATGTCAATGACAAAATGTCATCATGGACTTTAGATTACATTGAACCTGAAAATGACCTCAGCCTTCAACATCATGACACATTCAGCTATGCTCAGGTATAACATTAACACCAGTCGTTTATGAAACACTGTGGCCTGTACTGTTGCCTTTTTGGCATTTCAGGCATTTGTTAGTTTAAGAGCCCTTTGTTACATCTAGTTTTAACAGTTAATGTTTAACCATCACTCTGCGGATATTTCGGGGTCAGGTAGAAGAATCCTATCGACTGACTCTTAAAAGGTGTCTGTATTACGTTTGCATGATATCGCCTTCTATAAACAAAGCAAACGGATGCTTTGTTAATAGAACTTTTCGTTTAAAATGGTTAACCAGTAAAACGTTCTGTGAAGAGAGAAACTATAAGCCAACAATCAGACATTTCAGAGTACATTTCCATTTTAGGCACCTGCTGATCAACATCAGTTTCTGTGTCTTTCCTGTTTTCTGTAGGAATAGAATATAGAGAACCTCCTACACACAATCAGGGTATCAAATGTGGCTTTAACAGGATCCCTAACTATAGCTTTTAACAATCTGCTAAATAAAAAAAACTATCTTTTGCACTATTCATCACTGCACTGTTTCATATTTAGTCATGTAAATATTAGTCTTTTCTTATTATGTTTATTGTTGATATTTAATGTTGTACCTGTACATCTGGGAGCACAGTTCACCAAAGTTAAATTCCTTGTGTGTGTAAACATACCTGGACAATAAATCTGATTCTGATTCTGAAATAAGTATGGTTCAAAAGTCAACAGTTGACGGCGAACAGAACAAAGAGAGTTTGGACGTAGAAAGGATGAAGGTTAAGCTTGTGAATAAACGTGAACTTGCCATTGCATATGAGCTCCTTCTCTATCGTGGTCAGCTCCTCTTTAAAGCCTGTAAAGTACTTGTTGAGCGCCCACACAAAGGCCTGGTAGGTCCTGAAGGGAGGCTCCGAGCCCTTCTTTGAGCTGTAGGAGGAACAGGAGCTGGGTGGGCTGGGCTCCGAGCTGTACCCCGTCACCTCGTCTATGAACCTCTGCAGCCGGGACACGGCCTGCCCGTACACGGCGATGTGCTCCAGCACAGAGCGCAGGCAGTTCTGAAGCACACAAGAGTAGAACGACTAACTTCAACATCAGACGCAAGATACATTTATTAAGATACAGATGTTTTCAGATTCACAAACTTACGCTGGTGAGGTGAGTCACCACCACGTTGTTCCTCACTGACACTTTTCCATCATGATGTTGAAAAATAAAATGTTTCTTCACCCCAGAGAGAAGCCTGAAACACAACAATCATACAGCTCAACCTTTCTGGGAACACAAGCTCAAAGCGTTCACATGAACCTGAGATATACCACTCAAGATGATCAAGGATCTACAAGGTCACACGCCACAGCATCCTAACAACTTACCACAATGTCTCCCGTATCACTTGTGATTCTGTGACAAAAGCCTTCTCTTCTGGTAGATACAAAGGGTCAGTGTTGTACAAGTGCTGATCCCTGAGAAAAGAGACAGCGAGGGTTCACATTTGAAGTCATGTTCACTTTGATGTTTGCCCAGCAACACCACAGCTGTTGAATGGAAACAATATATTTTACAGATTCATTTAGTATAATAACATGATAAGTTTCAGATCACTTTACAATGTTAGAATTTAAAACACAACTGTATAACATCTGTGTTATACTGCTATTATACTGCTTATTATCTACATACATGAGATCACTTCTTTTTATTTCTATCTGTTATTTCTAAAAGCCTCCCGTGGACAGGGGTTGCAAATTAGCATTTTGCTAAAAACACTAAGAGCAGTGAATCTGGAACTTGTGCATGGTTGAATGTTACAGCATCAATGTTACTGTATGTGCATGTCAAATAAACAAATATATAATTAAAAAATAAACAAACATGTGAAGCAGCTGAAGAGAGACAGGATATGTGGGAAGGAAAAGTGGAGGATGACATGACGCCAAGGGCCAAAGTCAGGTTTGAACCCACAGCTGCTGCAAAGAGGACTACAGCCTCTGCATATGGCACGCTACATAACCACTAGGCTATCCGTCGCTAATGATACTATTTTATAATGGAAAATGTGACATAAAGACAAAGGGTTCCATTTTTTTTAATATAAAAGATAATTAAGAACCACTCTTCCTACTATGCCAACCAAACTAAACCAAACCATAAACTATTATAACCAAATACAGGCGAGTAGTTAAAAGGCAAATGAAAACAATAAGTACATAAAAATAAATAGCAACGTAACAAAGGGACAGTCAGAGAATAAACTTCCCATGTACATGTGGCCTCATCTACTCGATGTACTGATCACATGCACCATGGATTTATTATTCCAATATTCAATCTTTGACATTTAATACTAAGACTTCAATCTTTGAAACTAGTCATAGGAAATGTGTCCCAAATACTCTTGGAAAGTGTGGAGGGGAATCTTGAAAGTAGAAGTTCAGCTTACTATTCTGTAAGAAGAGATAAGAGTCTTACCACACGTTGAGCAGGTTGGAGTGTAAATGTAAGCTGTGAGGAAAACGCGGTGCATGAGCCACCCAGTACGGTGTCACCACGTGCTGCTCAAGCCAGACCCGGGCGTCAGGCTCACCCACTGGAAACACAAACTGGAATTATTTCATATTCAAAAAGCGCTGGGATTTCTCTCTTTTTTTTTGGGGGGGGGGGGGGGGGGATTTCATTTCTATAAAGGCTTCATAAAGATTTATTAAAGCCATTTTTTCTTTGTGATCTGTTCACACCTGTCCATGTAACTGGAACTGTCTTGTTGTTGTTGTCCTGGTCTTCCTGTGGAGTTCTGTCCAGTTGGATCCCGGAGTCCTCTCTGCTGATTGGCTGCTGGCTGTCATCGTCCTCGCTCTCCTCCTCAGACCACTCCTTAAAAACCCAGGACACAAAAAAAATATAAAAATCCATCCAAACTAGGATCTAGGAACTAGGATTTAGAGACAGACCTGAGTCGTGTTATTAAACTAAACCTAATAAGAGGTGTAATCAGCCAAACACCACTAAAAACATTTCTGATAGCATGCAAGTTTTTTTTTTTTAGAGATATAAAGCTGCAGTCATTGTGGTTAATAATCACGATAAAAGGAAGGGTTTTCTTATGGTACACTCACAGGAGTATCTGGATACGGTCCATTGTCAATGTCCTCACCCTCTATCAGATAACTGGCCCAGTCGAAGTTATCCTCTTCTTCTGCAAACAAGATTTAAAGGCATAATGATTAACATCCCTTTGAATGGATTCCTTCATCCTTTAATCATAATATTAACTCACCTGCCTCCTTCACCCGGGGTGTCTCAGTGAAGTTTGTGTTTGAGGGGGACCCCGATAAGAAGAGCAGCAGTGACAGTAAGCTGTAGTGTGCATCAGTCTACCAAATAAATAAAACAAAGATGGGAAACTGTCCTGTTGCATCATTTTTAACATCTTTCGTTAAGAATAAAGAAATAAAGGCCAAGAGGAATCTAGCCATTAGGAGTTTGTCTTGTGGGATATATTCATTTCATACTGCATTACTTTTTTTCTTTCTGTCAGCTCATGTCTGTTCGATACCTTTGTTCCATCTGTATTTGGCAACGGTGAGTTCAGGAACTCGTCAGTCAACCTCATCCAGCTTCCTGCTTTACTCAAGTCTGAGTGGACCATGAGCTTTTCGTAGATTCTGAAACACGCAGCACATTATTAAGTCAGGGTTTCGATGGATTCCTTCCTCTCATAGCCACCCGTCTTGTGAAATAGATAGTAGTTCTTTTAAAGCTTCTGTAGTTTTCCATACTTTTGATTAGAGGTGTGACAATACACTCGGCTTACGAGACGATTCATGAAATTTGGTTCACAAGAACGAGACGAGATTGTAGACTATTTATCAGAAAACTTCAATGACAAAATATATGACGCAAAAGTCTGAATATATGCAAAAAGCAAGCTATGCATTCAAAACAATAGCAATAAATGTGCATGGACTTGAACTTAATATAAACATATAATGTAGTAACTTAGTGAAAAGATGGTGCTGTACTGTACAAATAACAGCCTGAAATGTAATATATAAGTGGAATTAATTAATATGATTTCCCACATGAATAAATCGGTCATTTACGTTTTTAAATCTGTAACATCCTGTGATATAATTGACTTTAATATGAGGTATTGATAAGACATATATAGATATAAAGATATATAAAGACATAGATATGACAAAATGCATCTCCTCTACGAAACAAAGCCTGTATTTCTTGTGGAAACAAACATCATTGCTCACAGTCTGTCACGTTTTGTGACTATATAATAACACAAACATACCCACTAATATTGCGTTGCACTTTGTGGCTGTCGACGTCCAAGAAGCGATGAAATCTGTCAAACACATGAATAGCATCACTGTTAGTGGCTAACGTTTTGGTTACACGTTAGCAGCTAAAAAGCTAGCTCACGCCCTGTTTGTTATGGTTACTTACTTAAAATTCGTCCAGGCAAATTTCATTGCCATCTGAAAGTTCTGGTCCTCCTCGTCCTCGACCCCACTGATACATTTGATCAACTTCTTGGTTTCCTTTTCTGTCTCCTTGTCGAAGGTGCTCCAGTGTGCCATGTTGATGTGGTGTGTTTAACTTAGCTTTACTTCATCTACATATAGCAGGGTAGTCGTCGGACTAGCAGGTGATCTTGCACGTTTAAGTGCTCGTACGAAAGAGAAAATGTTTATAAAGCATGTCATTTATTGAACAGCTACGAAAGCTTTAGGTGTTTCTTCATTGATTCATTCGGGTGCCGCGCAGCGTCTGCCTGCTGTCAACAAACGATACAAGGAAGTGCGCATGCGTTGTATCATGTCATCCGGGTACTTTGCCCAAACGATGCCGGCCCTGCCCCTTTCTGGATGAAAACATTTAATCTAAATGAATGGCGGCAAATGGACAAGACGGAATCTCAAGCAATTTAAAAGCTTAAGAAAACCGTACTGCTTAACGGATACTAGGAAGCCCAAATCCAATGAAGGTCAAATTATACATGAAAACTTTTCCGAACAGTGCATCGTAATAAAATAAACACATGAAAGGTGTACATGAGTGTCTCTTCATTCCGTCTTTATCAAACTCATAGACTGGTAAATATTGGTCAAACTGGACAAACGAGCTCATACTGGGATCAGGGAGGTGTACCTTATGTGTGTATATTAACCGTGTTACCTGGATGGGATCGTAACTTTCCCGCTTATGCTTCGCTAACTTGCAGTGATTGCTTACACTCCAGCACGGTTACTGTGAGTGGTGGCTGTTGACACCTCTCCCCCCCTTCAAGGCTCTTTGAATAGTACTTACTGATCACTCACCAAACTCCCATGAGTCTTTGCGCTCCAGCATGGTCCTTTGTTGTATTTGCAACATCTTTTCTTTTAGACTCTTTGAGATGTTAAAATCAACAGTTCTTCCCCCTCGGCCGCTACATACCGATGGTTTGTTGTTTTGACTGTTTGATAGATTAAATTATTTACATTTTTAAACATTTTTAACAGCGTACGATTACACTTCCAATTTATGATAAACAGGAAGGAAAATATGAGGGACAAAAAATGAGTAAGTATGAATAAAAAGTTAAAATAACTGTATAAATACGCTAATAAATGAATAAATACATGTAAAAATATATAAATAGCCTTTTTCATTAACAAAGTGTATTTATTATTTATTCATTGATGTATTGTTTTCAGCATTTATATATTTATTGATGCATTTATTTAATTATTTATTTATTTATACATTATTGTATGCATTTCTCCCAACATTTAGTTATTCATTTATTTATACTTTAGTCATGTTTTGTCCCTCATAGAAAAACCATTACGTGTTTTGTCTTTAATGGGGCGTGGTTAATACACACGTCTTCTCTCTCACACAAACATAACTTCACCGTAGCAACCACGGCGCTCACAAAGCGCTGCGTCGACCCTCCAGAGAAGACTAGTCCTCCTCCTAGCGCGGGGAAATGAAGAGGAGGCTACATAAGAAATACTTGGTTCTTATCCTGGCATATTCAGGGTTACTTTTGCTAATACCGTACGTGTTAGATTACCGGGATAAATCCGTGCAGCATGCGAAACACGGGCTCAGGCAGCAGCAGCTCAGATGTCCAGATCTGGAGAACACGGTGGCGCTGCTTTGGGATAATAACGGGTACAAAGTGAACGGCAGCGACCCCGCGGAGATCGCCGTCAACAGGAGCCAGTCTCGGATACACATCTACCTGCATGCCACATGGAGAACCGGCTCCTCGTTTCTGGGGGAGTTGTTCAACCAGCACCCCGATGTGTTTTACCTGTACGAGCCCATGTGGCACATATGGCAGGCTCTGTACCCGGGGGACGCAGGCAGCCTCCAGGGCGCCGTGCGGGACATGATGAATGCGCTCTTCCGCTGCGACTTCTCCGTCCTCAAACTTTACGCAGGATCGCAGAACATCACCACGTCGTTCATTTTCGGCTGGAAGATGAACAAGGTGATATGCTCGGAGCCGCTGTGTGAAGCGCACAAACGGCACGAAATTGGTCTGGTAAGGGAGGACCAGTGTGCCAAGTGCCAGAAGCGGGACATCAGGGATCTGGAGAGGGAGTGTAAAAAGTACCCGGTAATGGTGATCAAAGGAGTCCGCGTTTTGGACCTGAGCACGCTGGTTCCTCTCATGAGAGACCCGGCGATAAACCTCCAGGTCATCCAGCTCTTCAGGGACCCCCGGGCTGTGCACAACTCCCGCTTGAAGTCCAAGCAGGCCCTGGTGAAGGAGAGCATTCAGGTCCTGAGGAGTAAAAAGCAGGCTGATAAGTACAAGCGTTTGCTGGTGCCGAGCAACAAGGGGAACCGGGCGGAGAGCTACGTCTCCAGCGCCATGGAGCTCATCTGTGACAACTGGCTCAGTGACATGATGCTGGTGATGAACTCGCCTCCCTGGTTGAGGAGGAACTACCTCCGCATCCGCTACGAGGACCTGGTCCTGCATCCCATGGAGGAGCTCCAGAGGCTCTACCGCTTCTCCAACCTCTCCTCCTTCCCCGCGTTGGAGAAGTTTGCGCTGAACATGACACACGGGCAGGGGTATTCATCGGACAGGCCGTTTCTGATATCATCCAGGGATGCTAAAGAGGCAATATACGCCTGGAGGGAGAGACTCAATGTGGAGCAGATCAACCAGGTGGAGGCTTACTGCAGTGAAGTCATGAGGCAGCTGGGCTATGAGAAGAACAGCATAGAAAAGACAACATGAAGATGTGCCCTGAGGAACATGAAAACAGGTATGAGATCACACATCAGGCTTTGGTTAAAGAGTAAATAGAGGTTGACATCCGCAGAGTTTTTTAAAGTGCCCTCACTGCACACTCATGTTTCTTTCAACCAGCCAGAGCAGGAAGTTGGTGGTTTTAACAGAAAACATTTTTCGCACTTCAGGCCTGCTGCCGTGTTATGCAGCTGATCCTTGACCTCTTGCCTCCATCTCACTGAAGCAAACAGAGAGCAGGGCGTCTATAATGTGGATAGCACACATTTATTTTGTCTACAAGGCAGATAGAGACAGGAAACCGAGTTGAATTTATAACATTTAAAGTCCCCTCTTCTAGAGAACATGTGTCACTGATTATTCCTTCACTTTACACTTTGACCTTCACTGTGGACAATGATGTATGTGCAGACACTAAAAGTTTGCTTTTACTTCTTTGATCTTCTGAGCGTTTCTCCATTGAACATTTTTTGCACAAGCATGCATTTGCAACACAGACATACATTGATGCATTTACATTTGCATCATGCAACTTACACTGGGGTTAGAACAATCCCCGTTTTTCCTCAAAAGCAGTTAATTCATTTGAGAGTTGGCCCATTGGCTTATGAGCCAAGACCTGATCTCATACTGGTGACATAGTCTAATAAGATTAACAGCTTTAGCTAAGGGTTGTCATGATACCATTTTAAACCAAGTTACAGATCTAGTAAAAAAAAAGAAAAATCAACCACTTCTGATACGTCTTTTAATAATGAAACCCTACAGTGTCATTTCTGTTTTTGATTCTGTGTTTGACTAACTCCTGAAGTCTGAACTGCTCAAATACATCTGCAAAGATTCAGTATCACAGTGACCTCTCTCTCTCTTTAGCTCACAGCAGCTTTTGGTTAAAAACATGACGAATTTAATACTAACACCCTGTATTGTGTGGTTTCTATTATTGTGTCCTGGTGGAGTTTAAAATTGTAAAAAAACAAACAAGTAACTATACAGGGCATGAATTCTCATTAACTTTCTTTCTGGTCTGGTTTTGTTGTAGGGATGTGCAATCAGTTGTAATTTATTTTTTATCGTGATAGGAGCACAACGAAACACAGCACAAAAGTCTTTACTTATCGCGGTGTAAGAAATATTATTCAGTCTTTCTCACTCAGCATGTGAACATAGTGGGTATAACGACCATGCTTTCAAACCCGTCTTCTGAAGTCAGATGAAGTGGTTCCAATCCCATGGTAAAATTATATTATTCAGATTTATTTTGGATTCAGGAGAGACATTGTACAAACACAGGAAGTGTGTGAATCATCACAAACAGCAGCTTGACAGAAAGTGTGAATAATATGCACTCTTTCATTTTTTGTTTGTTTATTGGCTTTCATACTTTAATATCAAGCATCATCACTTATTACCCCTCTGGTCATGCCGGCCTGTTTAACAGTTCGTCATAACTGAAAAGTAAATAAACAAATATGAATCTACCATGAAGGTTTTCCTCCCGCATCTCCTTCCTGAGTTAGCTGAGAAGTGTCGAAGTGACACAGAGTTTCTTCAGTGTTTATATTGGTTTCAACAAACTGGTCCGGTTGTTTTGGATAAGAGGAGACCTTTGTGGATATTTTGCCCCCCCCCCTTTTAAAACACGCTGAAGGATTCCAAAAACGACTAGAAGAGCAGACTCAAGAAAACTCATCTTAAATAAGAAACTTCTTTATTCAGTGAACGTCCGAGTACCTCTGCTTTTCTAAAACCACATTGTTTTTGTTCTCTATTGTCACATGATAAATAACCTGGCATCACTTCTCTCTCGCTCCTGCCTCATTAGATGCAAGTTTCAAACATAATAAATCAATAATGTCTGCAGATACAATGTCTTAACCTCCTCTTGTGGCAGCAGAATGCATGTTGCTGTTTCTGTTTTTGAGCTGCAAAGTCGAGTTTATTACCTGAAAACCAAATCTACTTCTTTGGTGCTAATACAATCTGAGACTAACATGTTTGCTGGTCCAGTATTTCAGCCGTTTCCAGTTTCCAGTTTGTATCAAAACAACTCTAATCAACACGTTCATTCATTTTAATACAGCACAGAACTCGCCCAGTGCACAACTATCATTTTACTTTTGAGTGAATGTGATTTTTTTTTTGTAGTAGTATGCAGAGTGACATAAAATCTACCTGTTGATTGTGTTGTATTTATTGCTCTCACAACAGTCCCTCCATAATCATATCATCTGTAGTTCTAAGTTAACACGAGCCTCAGCTCTTGTGGTGCAGATAACATCTCTGCTTCACACCCAGAACTTCTTAAACAGGTCACTGCTGTTGTTCTCTTGTTGGAACTTTATCTTGAAGTTTTTCGTTTTAGATAAACAAACATTAGATTCAACCTATTAAGGACAATAAAAACATTTGAGTTGATTCTAAAAAAAGCATTCCAGCGTCAACATTTAGACTCAAGTGGCCCCTCGATAAGAGATTTTTTTTAATCTCTATTGGCGCAAGACAGTCGCAGGAATATTTCCCCCCTCCTTAATGACGAACTGATCTGCTCT